AAGTTCTTCAACTTGTTTGACATATAGCAGTTTCAATCTCATTTTGAAGTTATGCAACAAATCTAGGAGAATTAAGTGTTGGCATCTATTTGTATGGTATCGCATTGTACCATCTGGTATTGTTTACTTTCCTATTTTATTGTTCTGAATAAGATGATGCCATATCATATTTTGTATATATTATCATACTGTATTGTATCATATTTTATCCTAACATATCGGTTCGTCCTGTATCATTTGTTTATGAAATTGTAACGATTTGGATATGATACCATATGATGATATATCATGTAGTTTTTTTTATCGTATCTTGTTGTATAATTTTTCTATAAATATCGTTTTGTATTTAATGATGCCATATCATATTGAAACATATTATATTCTTCTGATCATCGTTTCCTATCGTATCGTATATCTTATCCTATACAGTATAGTAATAATCCCCTGGTTTGCTATAAAAATTGTTTCTTGAGGTCTTGTGGTTCAATAAGGAAAATCATCTAAAAATGACAACTCAACACTAACTAAAAGTGACTGTTGATAAATTGGAAGAACAAAAATTAGATGAAGTTAGAGAAGGTAAGATAAAAACATGAAAACAAAATAACAGAAGGCCCTGGAGAGAAGAGGTTTTACAGACCGAGACTTTTATTGTTTAGAGGAGAAGAAATTATATTATAGGCAGTTATAGTGAAGGAATTCTCAATCAATGCATGGAAAGGGAGAGTGAGAAAAGTGAATAGGATTTGTGATTAAGAAAAGAAGGGATGAGTGGCAGATGACAGGAAGTGAAGGAGGTGCAGAATTGAGAAGAAAGGGAGAGGAAGAGAGGGGTCACAGATCTGCTTGATTGTGCGTTATCATGAAGTGGAGATTTATTCCAGCGTGTTCCCTCGTCTCCTGCGACCCCTCGACCCACCGCTCATTAGCATAGAAACCACATTCCACGTCTACTGATTGGACCTGCGCTGACAAGACCAGGATGTAAAATAGGAAGTGTGTGTGTTTGCGTGCACACACTTCTTTGTGGTCTCGTACACACACCCAGGAGGGGGGCAGGCAGGTTACACATCATCATAATAAGCAGAAGCATTTCCAATCAAAGCGGGTAATTCTACCTCCTGCTCGCTCCGCCGCCGCCTGCCTCTTATTTGGTGTGTAGTGTTGTGTGTATTTGTGGTAGTGTTTGTGGGTGTGTTTGTCCATTAGTGCAGAGCCATTTGAATGCCCCCACACACAAATATTTAGAAAAATGTCCAGATTACATCCCATCCTCCACGCCCACTCCCCAGCCAGCCTCTGACCTGAAAATATGAGTCTGAAAGCCAAATAACCGCCTGAAGCCGCGACGCTGCTGCTGCACACAACTAATTATCTCTGCAGAATTTGTCGAAAAAAAAGTGATCAAATATGAATCTAATCGCTCGCCAATCAGCTCGATGTCATTTTTTTCTGCAGTCACACATTATGTTTCTCTGCATAATGATCAGCAGAATACAAACTTTAACACTTTTGGCATAGTACGTCTTTTAAGTTGTTATTTTGCACCAAGAAACCCTTCCTAGTGAGGAAGGAGGACGTTTTGGAAGGTTTTGCAGATGGTGAGGTTAAAATGAAATCTCTGTGATTGTTTTTGATGTCTTTTTTAATTCTTTCTTTGTGTTTTACCATGGGCTGTTGCAACATTTCGATCATTAATTACATTTGTTGACGATGAGTTGATGTTTAAATAAGCTTTGCAGTCAGTTTTTTCATATATTTTTTTTATGAATCGAGCATCTTGGTCAGCACAGATCCCAGGACACTGATGGCGAACCTCTTACCAAAACATCAGATTATCTGACTTTAAACTGCATTAGATTTTCTTCTTTCTGTCTGTGAGGGTTCTGACTTGATGAATGCATTTACATCTGTGACCCTGTATTGATTCCACCTGTTTAATCCTGTTCTCTTCTTGAGGAGGAGGAGGAAGCTTGAAGAGATTAAAAGCCTTCACGTGTGACACATGGACTTGGGGATTGAAGTCAATATTTGTAATACTGAGGTCCCACGCATGTTTTAGACACAAAATGAAGGCTTAAACTCTGAATGTATCCATGACACATCGGTTTGGGGTAATATGAAACTAAGAAGCCTTTATTATTTTCTGTGTTTTTTTTTTAGTTGTATGTGCCATTTTAGCTGCACCAGCTCTGTTTGGCTCAGTTTGAATCATTGCTATCAGTTGTACTTACTGCTACATTTTTAAAAGTCTTATTGCAGCTGTTAAGTTAACATATATGACACCTCTGACCTCCTACTCAAAGAGGAGCTTAATGAAAACAAAACACACTGTTTTGCACTGCCAGTGAAGCATGGCAGATTTTGTGAGAGGACTTCCAGGTTAACGTAAGGCATATATCTAAATCAATATATGTTTGTGTTGATGTGTATGATGAGGGCTTTTTATTTTATTTTAGCTTGTCCACTAGTGCTACTGTAGCTCTTCACACAGGGCCACTGTGAGCTCACATACCCCTCCTCATTGGTCAGTTGGCATTGGGCGGGTCCAAGGTAATGCCAATAAACTTGGTGTTTGTTAGCGACATAGTCAGACAATGCCAAAATTGACCAATTGTAAGGACAGCTAAGTGGGCGCACCAAATGGAAAATAAAAAAGGACCTTGAAAACTTAAGGTATATAACAAAAATAGATAGTTTCTTTGTTTAGATACCAGCTGCATGCTCAGGGAGCTAATGGCAGTGAGGCAGCTTAGCTCTGATAATGTTAGCAACCTGGATGGAGAGAATCCCCCAGCAGCAGCTTGCAATGGTGGACCTGAGGGTGGCAGATTTTCAGAGGTTGTGGAAATCTGTAACTGGGGAGGGGTGGGCTTAAAAAAAATCAGACAGTCCACCAAAAAAACAAAAAATGTGGGAACCACTGGGTTCCACAGACACTAACAATATGAAGATACTCAGAGAAATAAAATCCCCTCGAGCAAAAATACCAACGCAGGCAATGAAAATTTAATTGTACTGCAGAGTTACGAGGGTTAAATTGTGGACTATGAACTCTGATAGCATCAAAACAAGAACACAGACACCAAATAAAACATGTTTCAAAGGTCTAATACATAATTAACCGCTGCTGAGTCGAAATATTAAAAAGAACTGGGAAACTTAACGAGACAGATCATGGGTCTCATTGAGCACTTGAGTATTATAAATGAGAAGAACGTCCACTTTCTGAACTCACTGTAGCGTCACAATTAAGACCACACAAGTGTAACTCTGTTAATCGTTTTCAGTTTTTTGTTTCTTAAACTGCGGCTCACGACTCAGACTGAGGTTCAGTTCATCAGAAAGAAAACAGTTTGTCTCAATCAGTGATAAAGACGATCTCACTCTCATCCGCGTCCCGGGCTCAACACGCCTGAAATCCTCAGAATTACCCAATAATCCTTTATCCCAGCGAGCGTTTGCCCTTTGCTTTGACCTGCCTCCGAGCTTTCAGAGAGTTTAGTGCTGAAATAAGAAATGTGCTGTGTGAGAAAGTTCACTTTTTCACCATCAGAATGATTGATGGCTCAAAATGAAGATGGATCCATCTCAGACTGTTTTATACAGAAAAAAACATTTTAATATTAGAGATATTTTCTGCAGTTTGAAATAGTTTCCCATGTGCGTATTCCTCTCCTGGAGCCAGTGATGATTATGTCTGTTGGATAAAGTCAGAATGAGTGTTACTTATTTCAGTAAGAACTTTATTTGCTTATATTCCCTGTTTCAGTTTGTTTTTTTGTGGTAATATTTAGTTTAAAAATATCAAGAAAACAGAGAAATAAAGTTTGAACCAACTCGAGTAAAAACACACATCAGGTTTAGTGTTCAAACATAAACACACATTAGGCTTTTAAAAAGAAAACGCATGTTTCCATGATGCTTACAGCTTTTACCTCCTCACTTTAAAGATCCCATATTGATTTTCATTTTTCATGTTGTCATTCTGTGAAACCTATAGAGTAACTTTGCATGATTTGCAGCTCTCCTTATTTATCTTATACTGGCGTCAGTAAAAATCTAAAAAAATAGAAATTTTTGCATCTGCCAGAAATGGTTTGTTTCAACTGCTGTCTCTTTAAGCATAACAGGTCAGATTTAAAGAAAAAAAAAGGCTGTCAGTTTAATCAATACACAAAGCAACGGTCAGTAGAAGAAACAAATGAATAAAAAACACAATTTACTTCTCAACTTTACTTCTATTTAAATTATTTATTTGTCCCTGCACACGTGCCCTTGAGCAGTGTGTGTTCACTCCTGTTTGTTGTCTTCTGGAAATCAAACTCGCTGACACACCGAGTAAACACAGAGCGGAGGAGGATCTCCCTCAGGGGCGATCAATGAAGTTTCAGAAAATAACTCAAGGAAATAATACGTGTGTGTGTGTGTGTGAGGTTAAGGTTGTATAGATTTATTGACAGCATTAAGTTGAAGTGTTGAATAATACAGAAGAGTCCGCTGTAGTAACAGCAGCACCTGCTACCTGCTGTTACACACAAGTCCTCACACACAAGTCCACACACACACACACACACACACACACACACTCAGGTGTGATTATTGAAAATCGGAGGTGTTATGTTGTATTTGGTGTCAGTTCTTCTTGTTTGAAGGACTCGTGACTGGAAAGTTTTAGTCATTTCATTTTGGTGTTAGAGGGAGTGCCCTTGTGGTTCTCTCAGCCTCTCAAATAGTTGGTTCAAAGTGAGGCTGACTGATATTAGGGCAAAAGTGACATGGTAATATCTTTTCTTTCTGCTACATATATGTGGATATGAAAATATACATATTTACCTGTAAAAGGAAACATCTGCTTCTCCAGGGGATCAAAGCTCCTCTTTGTTCATGAGTTAGTTGTTGGTGTTAAATTGGTATCAGATCTGATATGTAGCCTGACAGTACCTGAAATTTAAAGTTAGCATGGATCTTTAACAGTTTTTTATTTTGTGTTTTCACAGCGGGGCCGGGGAACAAGGCCGGATGGGCGTTCGGTCTCGGTCTGGAGAGACTGGCGATGGTGTTGTACGGCATCCCAGACATCCGGCTGTTCTGGAGTCAGGACGAACGTTTCCTCAAACAGTTCAGGGTTCAGGACATCGAGCAGCCCGTCTGCTTCCAGGTACAAACATCAATCGACTTCACTTTCATGCTTACTTAACACATGATTACAGACGAGATTATAAGCACATGAGACTCTTGTTGATGTGAGAACTGGCACAACCAAAGTAGAGCTTCAAATCTGAGTCATAAATCAAGGTCCTGTTACCTCCTGTTTTATGAGCAGCTGAACCTGGCTGGTATTTTGTGCCTTTGTGCTTTACTTAGTGCATACTGTCAGAAAAGTTATACTAAATTAATTGAATGTTAAAATATAAAATTTCACAAACCATTTGTAAATATATATATACATAATTTACTGGAATAATGGAGCTGCTAAATTGTTACAAAGTGGGAACCTCCAGTGTTGTAAAATGAAGGCAATACACAAAAAGCCAACAAACTGCAGTTCCTTGAGTGTCCACTTGAGGCTGTCTGCAAACACCAAAGAATCCCCATTAGGTCCCATTTGAAAATGTCCATTTGTACGGTAGAAATAAACATGTTGACAGTCTGGGAACCCAAAATAGTTTGTCTCTGTAGCTCTTTTTGTATTTTATTGGAAAAAACTGTATTGTGGATACATTGTTATAACTTGCGTGGCTTTGGGGGCGGTTAGTTTGACTGATAGGTGGGCTTGTTGTAGCTGTTCACAAGAGGTGTAGGTAAAGTCAGCATGTCCTATATGGTGGCCGCCATCATTGGGCGTCATGACATCTCCTCTTATTTGTTCTGTCTCTATCTTTTCCACTTTTATTCCTTTATTTCCTCCCTCCTTTTCCTCTCCTCTCCTCTCCTCTCCTCTCCTCTCCATCCTGTTTGTTATTCCGTTCAGTTCTGTCGTTCAGTCGTCCATTTGTCTCTCTGCCTGACTGAACAGTTACACTCAGTAACCTCTGCCATCTAACACTTCCATCTCCATCAGCCTCACACATACTCACTCTGTGTGTGTGTGTGTGTGTGTGTGTGTGTGTGTGTGTGTGTGTGTGTGTGTGTGTGTGTGTGTGTGTGTGTGTGTGTGTGTGTGTGTGTGTGTGTGTGTGTGTGTGTGTGTGTGTGTACAAATGTGTGTGCAACGGTTCAGTGAGCCATCTGCAGCAGCAGTTCAGGAGAAGTTTTTCCTTTGAAGTCACACACAGAGTGAGACAGAAGACAAAAATCCTCCCTTCCCTCAGTTATATTAACTAGTTTTTAGGTCGAAATCACTGTGGAAGTGTGGAGGGAGATGCTGAGGGAAAGAGGAGGTGTGTCCAAAGAGAGCGCTTATTTTAAAAGTTACATAGTGAGACTTTAATCGAAACGATTTTGAAAATGTGATTTTAGTAAACACGCAGTATGTAATTTCTACCACCAGGGGGCTCTCATTAAAAACAATAACCAAAAGATGACGTTGAGGCTGGCGGGGTGTGTGCCCTCTCCCCCTGGTCTGCGCCCGACCCCGCAGCAAGCCAGCACACTAGGCGTCCTATCTGAAAGGCCATTCATGCAGCGGTCTTTAACGTAACATCCGGTGTTTCCATGGTAACGATAAATATTTTGTGTCTGTCATGGCAGCTGTCATAGCGGCCTCCACAAAAAACACGGGCCGTTACAACTATTAAATTACGTATTTCTTTGGCTTTGACAACTGTTGGAAATATGTGAGGTAATATACTCACCAACAAAAAATATGTGACACACATCCATTTTTTATTAATTTAGATATTTTAATGTCAAAATTCTTCATATTACACCTGTGTTGAAAAAAGTTTTTTTTTCAAAGTGTTTCTTTTATTATTTTCAAAATAAAATGGTTTTCTTAATGAAAACAAGATTAGACTTGAAAAGCAATGTTGTCTTATGATTAGGAACATCTTATATCTGGACCAATACACTAATTCAAAGTGTTTTGTTATCACTTGTCTATAAAGAAGTTAAATATTTAATTATCAAAATAAAAAACTTTATTTTATAATTGCTACAGAATTTAGAGTACCTGACATTGAATGGGTTCGACTTAAGTCTCCTCTTTGAAGTTCAGCTTTTTCACCTTCTGACTTCCTGCTTTTGTTCCACAAAGTGTGTGTGGTCATATTTTTGTGCTTGTGTGTGTGCGGTTTTATATCTGTGTGTGTGTGTGTGTGTGTGTTGTTGCCCCTTAACCTCATGTATAAAACATATTGACAGTGGGGGCTCACATCAGCCGGCACCAGTCACTTCCCCTGACCCCAGCATCCTCATAACGCACGCACACACACACACACACACACACACACACACACACACACACACACACACACACACACACACACACGCACAAATGGTTCACACAGCGGTTACTCTGTCCTCGCTAAAGGTGTTTTTGTCGACTCTCGTCTTTGCTAATAAAGAACATTTCGAGTGACTGTTGGAGGGCAGAGAGGAGAACAGAGGAGAGGAAGGGGAGACGGGGGAGGAGGAGGGGAGGAAATAAAGGAGGGGAAAATTGACTCTGAAAGGTAGAAAACAAAGGAGTGGAGAACCCAGGTGAGAAGGGATGAAAAAGGATAAAAGATTCATAGCAACAACAAACAAATATAAACAAAAACAAAGGATGATAACAGAGGATGAGACAGGAAATTAAGAAGATACGAGCAGAATAGGAGGAACTTAGAAAGAAAACGGCAGAAACAAATGTTGGAAAAAGGGAGGAAAGAGAGAAAAAAGGATTAAGGGTATTAGACAAGGAAAAAGGATGAAGAAATTAAGAAAATGCTATGGAAAGAGGAAAGATTGAAAGGGATGGAAACAAGGCGAGAAGAGAATAGAGGGACATTACAAAAGGGGACAGAAAGAAACAATGAGACAATGTAGGAAACTTTGGAAGAAGACAACAGTGTGAAGGAAACAAGTGAAGAAGCAAGAAAACAAATGAGGGTGTGACACAGCGGAAGAAACAAGGAAGAGGGGTAGGAAGGAAAAAAGAAAGTATAGAATAAAGGGTTGTAAAAATAATAGAGGGAATGAGGAATAAGGAAAGAAATAAAAAATGGAAGGATGGAGAAAAAAGATGGAAGGAAACCAGGGCAGCAGGAAACAATGACAGAATTTAGGGAAAAGAGAGGAAAAAAAGACAAAAGGAAGAAGAAAAATAAACGAAGAAATAAATGAAGACAGGAAGAAAGAGAGAAAAAGACAGAAAAAATTAAAAAGAATGATGAAGAAAAGAAAGAGGAAAACAATGAAAGACATGAACAAAAGATAAAAGACTAATAAATAATATAGAAGTAGAGGAATGAAGAAAGGAAAAAAGGAGGGAATATGGGAAAATTAACAACAAAAGAGGAAGAAAAGAATGAAAGGAAAATACAAAAGTGGGAATAGAAAGCAAAGAAAAGAAGAACATTCTAAAAATATCAAATGATTGGAGAAAAGAGTGAAAGAAACCATGAAAAACAATATCTATAGAAGCAGATAGGACGAGGAAATTAAATTTCAGTGAATCATCATTTTATGACGAGGTAAATATGAAGAATGAAATGACTAAAAGAGAAAGAAAAGAAACCACAGAACCATCGATGTGAAGGATGGAGGGATGTCATGTGAGGATACATCCTTCCATCCACCCCTCAGTCCGCTCAGTCCTCTAAGTCCTCAAAGTGTTATTGATGAACTCGAGTCCTCCAGAGGGACCAGGGGAGCACGGCTCATCTCCTGCCCAGGGTCAGTGCACCTCTCCTGGGCTCAGACTCTCCACCTCTACCACTGGACCCTCCAAGGCCCCCGGATCCACAGGTAATGAGCTGTGACCGTCAGGGGGCTGAAGAGGATGCAGGCTGTTTGTGTGTGTTATCTATGTTAGTATACACACACACACTAGCAAAACACACACACACACACACACCAGGGAGCTGCCTAGTGCCACTAAGCTGTGTTGAACAGCTGAACGAGCTCCCTGAGAATCACTGACTATCTGTAATCTATTTTATTCACTATAAAATCACTATACTTATAATAAAGAATGGTTTCTCTGATATACACTGTAACTGCCTAACAACCCAGCTGCCAACTCATAAACCTTCCTGTCTCCATCATATCGACCTTTCAATGTGTACGGACACATTGTGCGACACGGCTCTCATAATGTTGGGTACGACACGCATGTACACTGTGGGATGAGGTACCTGTGAATGGTAGGTTATGAATCAAGTTAACACGCAGCTTCATTAGTGTCATCAGTGCGTCAACCTGATGGACTTGAAGTTGCCATGGCGGTCAGCACAAAGAGACCTCTTGCCATAGTGGCGTTGTGGGGTGGCAGTAGCTCAGTCTGTAGGGATTTGTGTTGGGAACCGCAGTCCCAGTATGGACCAAAGAATTGGAGTTGGTCTGGTTTCTAGAGAGGTGCCAATTTACTTCCTGAGTACTGCCGCAGTAGCAGACAGAGTCACTCCCATGATTCCCCGCCAGCCTCGACATCATCTTTTGTTATTGTTTTGATTGAGAGCCCCCTGGTGGCGGATTTTTACATACTGTGCGTTTAAGTAAGCGCATCGGTAGCCGCAATTTTTTCGGGGTATGGCTGTTGGTGAAAGCATCTTTGTGTTGTTTTTTTATTTTTATCACCAGTCAATCAAACAGCAGCATCCTAAATATGAGGTAACTTAAAGTTTTTATATTAATTAAAGGGGTAAATTATATAAATATTTAATCCCCCGTACAGTTCTCATGAAGAGAAAATTTGCTACAGAGCCCAAAACTGTCTGTAAACATGTTTATTTCTGCTGTAAAGTTGGAGATTTTCTCATGGGGCTTGAAAGGGGTTGACTTACTTTTGTAGACACTCAAGGAACTGCAGTTTTTGGCACTCACGCCAGCATTGGTTACATGGAAACACTGCAAAGTTTTAAATTGTTAAAAACATTATTTTGTTACTTTTGTAGCTGAAATTGTGTTTTGTTGTTTCAGGCCCTCAGTAAGTATCCCCCCCTCCACAATGACATCTCCTTCTGGCTGCCTGAGAGCAAAGAGAGCGAGGATGGGCAAGAGAGCTTCACAGAGAACGACTTCTACGAGCTGGTGCGCTCCGTCGGAGGAGACCTTGTGGAGAAAGTCACTCTGGTAGACGAGTTCACACACCCAAAGTAAGAAAACACGCGACACATTTTCATGTCAGGTCAAAGTTCGGCTCGCTCACGCGTCATTTGTGTTTTGTAAGCCATCGATAATGTCTTTGGTAGCATATTTGTGCAGTTGGCGTTAGCTGGATGCTCATTCAATAGCTCTGGCTTACGTAACACACCTCTTTATGGGTTGTTCTGAAAGTTGTTTGGATGTGGAGTGATGCTTCAAACAAGGTGGATTCTGGGGGAAACGATGTCCTCTTGCTTGGAATGAATGAGAAGCGGTAGTTGTTTTAGTGAGGGAAATTATATCGATTCGTGGCACTTTGGAAATAGCATAAACACTTTTAAATCTCATTTTCAGTCCAAGTTGAGTTTAAAGTCTTTGATGATATTATCAAGTATGGTCCAAAGTTGAGGTAAAACAAATAGAATAGAATAGAAAGGAAAAGAAAGGAAGTAAAGAAATCTATAAGGAAATGTAGACTAGAAATGATCTTGTGAAGCAGAATAAAAGCTCGTTGGAGAGGAAGGAAAAAGCATGGCGACACAAAGAGGAAGAGGAGAAAGGCAAGAGGGAGACACAAATTAGTTAATGAAGGAAGACTGATGCTTATCCCTGAATGGGAGTGTTTGGATTAATAGTTAATTTTTCATCGCTCAAAACGACGACTAACTTGTGAAACCCTAAAAATGAAAAGTTAAAAGTTGTGAAAATGTAGAAGAAAATGAATACGGGGAGAAAAATGTACAAGAAAAGCTTCTGACTGAGGACAACAAAAAAGTAGTCATCACTCATTATTAAACACACACACGCACACACACACAAAAACACACAAATTTTCACCTATTCCCCTATACAGTGAAAGTGCAGATTTAAATGACAGTTTGTCTCTCTCACACACACACACAAACAAACGCTCACACACACACACACACCTATCTGTCCTTGGCGTACACTTCAGAGCTGCAGTGTTGTCATCTAATTTTTTAAGGTGTGTGTGTGTGTGTGTGTGTGTGTGTGTGTGTGTGTGTGTGTGTGTGTGTGTGTGTGTGTGTGTGTGTGTGTGTGTGTGTGTGTGTGTGTGTGTGTGTGTGTGTGTGTGTATAAAGGGCAGCAGTAGGAGGTAGGTACCTTATGGCTGAGAACTCCTTTTTCACATTACTTTGACACTCACTCACACACACACTCTCTATCTTCCCTGACCTTGCGTTATTGCGTGTGTGTGTGTGTGCGTGCGTGCTTGCCAGCATATACTGTATAGGTGTGTGTCTGCGAGTGTGTTCGTGCACACGGCCCTGCAGTGCGTAAAAACGTCCAACATAACTCATCTTTCAGCATTTTAATGTCTTTTAAATAGTGACCTTTCTCCCGAGCTCACACGCACACACACGCTTACGTCTAGCCATACATTAATTCACACTGACTTTAAATATTAGCGCAGACTGAGGGAGAGAGGGAGAGAGGGGGAGACGAGGAGGGCTAGAGGAGGGAGAGAGTCTCAACATTTAATTTCACATCAAAATGCATAAATCATTCAAATCAACCTATGTTTAAGTGGTAATGAGTGAACTATATGAAACCAGCACACCAGACTGATGAGGTAATGGGTTTTACTATGCAGAACGTTATGTAAACAGAGTGACTTAAAAGTGGAGAAGTTGTACGAATCAATTTTTTGAAACTCTGCAGGTTTCCGCTGAGACGTTGTCTCTCTGCAGTGAGTATCATCCTGACTTTGGAGGTTTCCGGTGGACTGTGGGCATCAAAAGTGTCAGAGTTTGCTTAAAATCACTGTGAGGAACCTACCATTTTGTGTCAATCTGTGGACAAAGCAGTACACCTTATCTCTTTCCTGATGTTGTCCTGTACAAGTAAAAGAAGTATTTTGTACCAAAATATGAAACCAAGAATTCCATGGCTTCAACCATCTATGCAATCTGGCTAACGTCGGCTCTCTTCTCCCAGTGCTGGAGAGCAGCCCTGGCAACCCTGCAGCGTTCTGCTCAAATTAAAAAAAAATATTCTCGCATGAAAGCGCAGATTGAACACCTGTGTGTTTACAGCATTTGTCTTTTTATAACGTCGTTTCTCTAAGCTTTTATCAGAATGTCTTTCCATGTTCGTGTGTTTGCATGTCCATATTTACAGTTCTGACTTCTTACAATAGTGCAGCATACAGTAAAATACCTGCACTGCGACTCTTTACTCCAAAACCTCCCCCCTTTCTTCCTCTCTCTGTCCCCCACACACTGTCATTTTCTCTGTCTCTCAAACACACACAAACAACACACCTCCACACTTACACTGTTCTCATCACTGAAATTACAGCCTAACGAAGATGATGGAGACAAAGTTCTGGTCTTAATTACACTTATCAGCTCCGAAATTGGTGGCGCATAAAGTACCTGCATTGCACCCTTTTTGTCCCAAACCTCCCTCATCTTCTCTCTCTCTCTGTCTTCTACACACACTTTCTCTCTCCAGTTTCACACACACACTGACTCTCTCACTCTGTCTACACACTCCAACATTCAGGATTATTTTTTGAAGTTTTGTGCACATTGGAAAACAGCGAAACAGTCCCGGTTATTCACGTGTTAGCGATCAAAATTAAAAAAATTGCATCATTTGGAAAGCTTTAAGTTCAAGTCTAACATTATGTCATATGTATCGTACTAAATGTTTCCAAAGAACTGTCAGGTATGTCCCCAGTTACTGCTCGCATCAAATTTAAAACTCTGCTGCTCGCTTACAAAACAGCGACAAAAACGGCTCCTCCTTACTTTAACTCTCTCATCCAGGTCTACACTCCCTCCCACCCACTACGCTCTGCCAATGAAAGGCGTCTGATCCAACCTTCACAACAGGGTCCTAAGTCTCTGACTAGACTCTTCTCCTCTGTCGCCCCCCGGTGGTGGAATGAACTTCCAAACTCCATTCGATCTGCAGAGTCCCTCTGCACCTTTAAGAAAAACCTAAAGACCCAGCTCTTTCATGAATACCTACTAACTTAATGATGATGGTTGTCACGATGGTTTTTGTTTGATAACGATGACTTATAAGATGGTTTCTATACTGATTAGAGCTCTCAAGAACTGCCCTCAATGTTGTGCTTTGCCTCTGGTCACTTCCTGTCAGCACCTGTGTGTCCAATCAGACTCAAAGCTGATCATTTCCTCTTACTGACATTGTTCCCTTTTTTCTAGATCCTTGCTTGTGTTGTACTTACTCTCTGATGTACATCGCTTTGGATAAAAGCGTCTGCTAAGTGAATTGTAGAATGTCTGTGGTCTTTAACACGTTTAATTTATGCACCCAGACCCTTTTGTTGTTGTTGTTGTTGTTGTTGTTGTTGTTTTTGTTGTTGTTGTTGTTGTTGTGAGAGGATCAGTTTCAGGTCTAAAGCTGCTTCTAATGCAGGACATGATTCATTTGCAGTTTTGTATCTTTATTTTAAAAATATCCTTCCTTAAAGCAAACATTCAGCATACAGAGCTATTCAAAACAGACTTAACGGTCACTACCAAGGGAGGCGGAAGTGCTGTGAGACAACTTTCGTATCCTAGCAACAGTAAGCTATGGCGAGAAGCGCTCTGAAACTGAGGTCATGGGCGCTGCCAATGCTGAGAAGTCTGTTAGTGGACAGGAGCCCTTAACGTGGCTCACAGTGGCAATACTAGAGAAAAAACAATGGACCAATCTATGAATGAAATTCTTATTTTTAATCTGAGGGTCTGACATCTCTGCCTCCAAACAGACAGAACTCCATTCAAGCTTTCAAGTGCTGTTTAGCCCCCAGTTTGAGTTTAGGGAGTGTCGAGGAGAGCTGATGTGTGTTTCTTCTCCAAACAAACTATAATGTGCATTATGGCTGTAAATTGATCTAAAAGCCACTAAAGCTGCCGGAAATTGCAGCCTTTCAAATATATCTGCTCCTCCAAAGTACTTCTAATCGAATGAAGGAGGAATGGAGAGAGGAAACAGAGTGCCTCTCTCTCTCTCTCTCTCTCTCTCTCTCTCTCTCTCTCTTTCTCTCTCTCTCTGTCTCAGCCACTTGATTGTCTCTCGCCCGCTCTCCTGCTCCATAAACATCTCATGTAGGAGCAAATGAAGGCTGATGGCTCGCTATGATTCACCACAAATCTGCATTTATTGGTTGGTAACGCCGTCAGCAGAGATTGCACCCGGACTAATTTGATAAGCCAATAGAGCTGTCAGTCAGGATGACAGCGCCCTCCCCCTCCGGACTCCCCTGAAAGAGAGAGAGAGAGAGGTAGAGAGAGTATGGGAGAGTATGGGAGAGTATGGGAGAGTATGGGAGAGTATGGGAGATTGGCAGAAAGGTGTGTGTGCTGCTGTGTCAAAGTCTTGAGTACATTTGTGTGTGTTTATTTGGGTGTTTCTCACAGTTTTTCGGTTAACATTCTTCTTTCTAACAGAGATGTGGTTGTAGTTAATATTCAGACAATCAATTAAACATCCATTATGATACCAAGTCAAACTTTTGAAATATATAAAGCTAATTTGATGCTATACAAACATTAACATTACCCCATGCTCCACCTTTCGGGGCCATAGATCGTATAAAAAAAGCAGCGGCACAAAAATGAAGCCAGTATATCTGGAGCTCCCCCTGGTGGCTGAGTGCAGTCAATAACGTCAATACGGTTGCTCCACCAGCTGATGTCTACTGCCGAGACGCCTGTGTCAGGGGTATTTTGGCTTCACTTTTGGAGATACATTTATCCAGCTTTATACAATCCTGAGCTAGTTAGCTGCAACAAGTAAGCAATCTGTCCATCAGGAACGTTTGCGAAATCGGGGCGCTGGTGGCGCAGTGGCAGTGCGCGCGCCTCATGTATGGAGGCTATAGTCTCCCAAGCGGGCGTCAGCTGTCTTCAACAATCACTGCAGGAAGAGGAAGTATCAGGTGCAGGTTCGAGTGGCAGCAGTGTTTCAGATGAGAGAAACTAACAAAAACTTGTAGAGTGTGTAGAAAAATAACATTATTGGGTCG